AAGGCGAAGGTTCCGACACACCGTGCTTGTTGGCTACTCTGACGCGGAATTTGTAGTCACTCTTCGGTAGGAGGTTGGTAATGTCCACCCCACACCCGCGGATACCTGAAGGAGAAAGATAGAGAAGGAGTACAGATGTTTATATGAGAGAGGAAGATTACAGGTTAGAGGAATATCTGTCTGTTTATCTGTCATTCTGTTTGTTTTATCTTTCTTTAACTCTCTCTCTCTCTCTGTCTGTCAAGTTCATGTTTGTTCCCTCTTACACTATCATCAAGGTCCTTTGTGTTTGTTTTCGTATTGTATAAGTGTCTCTCTCTCTCTCTCTCTCTCTCTCTCTCTCTCTATCCTTTTATTGCTTGTTCTATACTTCTCTTTAGTGTCTTTTCATTCATTTATCCTTCTCTTCTCTCCCTCTTCTCCATTCGTGTGTCTCTTTCTCCTTTATTGGTTTAATGGTCTTCAACTGTCATCTCTTCATTCACCTGTTCTGTCTGTTTGTCTGTCTATCTCTTTTATTCTTCTCCTCTATCCCTTTTTCCTCTTAATTTCTTTGTTTACATCTATTAAAGTTCTATATTCATTCACCTGTCCTCATCATTCATCAGTCCTCACCTGTCATTCACTTGTCCTCATCATTCACCTGTCCTCATCTTACCTGTCCTCATCATTCATCAGTCCTCACCTGTCATTCACTTGTCCTCATCATTCACCTGTCCTCATCATTCATCAGTCCTCACCTGTCATTCACCTGTCCTCATCATTCACCTGTCCTCATCTCACCTGTCCTAATCATTAACCTATCCTCATTTTACCTGTTCTGACGGTGACCCATTCTCCTTCAGGACACTCGCACATCTCCAGAAGGTAGGTGACTGGCTGGCAGGGCGGGTTGGCCAGGTAAGGCATCCAGGTAATGGTCGCACGGCGGTCAGACAGGGCGCTAATCATGGGCTTATCCGGCAGGGGCATAGGGACACCTGAACGACGAATCCTGTCGAAGCCCTGGTACTCGTCTCCCACTGGGCGCTTCTTGCGGCTGGTCAAGGCTGTGGAGGGAATAACTTCGTCAGGTAGGTACTAGAGGCAGGAGAGAGAGGAATTACAAACCAGTCTATTCCTTGATACTTTTAATCAAGAGCGAATTTTAAAGGATTAAACATAAGGTCAAGAACACTCGGTATCTCACTCTCTCTCTCTATCTCATTAAAAATTACTCCTCCTTCGTCAGGTAGGTACTCACTCTCGCAGATCAGTTTGCCCTGGCAGGAGACCTCCCCGTGTTCGTTCCAAGCCTTGAGCATGTACATCCCGGCGTCCTCCGTGCTCACATGCTTGACGGTGAGGCGGATCAGTCCCTCGGGATCCTTCTCGATGACCACGCGGTTCCTGGAGGCGAGGCAGCAGGTGTAGCAAAGTGTTTGATCATCATTAACTATATTGAGAGTTTAGAAGGGATGTGTGTGTGTGTGTGTGTGTGTGTGTGTGTGTGTGCAAACATACACATAATCTTCCTAAAATACAGCAGTCACTTGAGCCACGAGTTTGTTAGGTTATCACAAGTAGCTTTTAACATTTCAGTGCCCTCCCCCCCTTTCTCTCTCTCTCTCTCTCTCTCTGTTTCCTTCCCCTCTTTCTCTTTCATCCTTGTCTCTCTCTCACTTACCTCTCCCATCCTTTCCCATCTTCATTTATCTGTCACATTCCTTCCTACCTCTCTCTCCCTTCTTCTTCCTCACCTTTCCCCTCCCTACAGCTATCTCCATCCTCCTCCCTCTACTCAACACCCTCGCCACCATCTCTCCATCCTTCTCCCCTCCCCACCACCCTATCCCACCATCCTCTCTCCTCTCCCTACTCCTACCCCAAATATTTATAATCCTTCCCAAACACTAACACACATCTTGTCCATTTCGTCTTGTTAGTTCTCCACTCAGAGTCAAAGTCAGGCATTATTCTCACTGACTCTTTCATCTGGCCCAGGCTTTCCTATCCTTTGGGAATAACAAAGTCAACACACACGGCGAATTGACTGATGATGAGTGCAAGGAAGGGTGAAGGGGGGGGGAGGGGTTGTCACTGTCTTTATTAATGGTGATGGTGAGAAGGCGGTGTCTTCATTATATTATATTGTGATAATGATGAAAGAGCAATTTTGAATCATGTGAAAACTTACACCTAACCGAACCTAACCTGTCCTGTCATACTCACGTGGAAATGACTTGACTGTTATTCTTGAACCACTTGAACTCAGGCTCTGGTTTGCCCTCGACGATGGCCTTGAAGAGAGCCTTGGAGCCCTCGAATACCTCCTGGTCGCCAATAACCTTGAGGAACACTGGAGCCTCGGCCCTGCGGTTGGGGTCCCTGTAGGGGGGAAGTACGGACCACCTCAGTTTTGTATGTGAGGAATAATTTTTCTTTAGTCCTTGCATTTAAACATAAGTTGTCCTAAGTTCACCACAATTGAGTTAAATTGACCTGAGTTGACCTATGTAAATTGGTATGGCTGTACACAAAACATAATAAGAGAACAAGTAAAACCTCTCCATTAGGTTCAACGTTCAACTTACACATCGTCTGCAACTTCCAGAGTCGCCTCATGTTCGATCTGTCCCTCGCGGTTCTTAGCCACTACCTTGTACTTGCCGGAGTCGCTGTAGGTGGTGTCCTTGAGGTAGAGCGTTTGGCCGTCTCCTTCCCTTCTAATGCGATACTTGTCACCATCAGGAACAATGGGCTCACCGTTGAAGTACCAAGACAACTCTGGTAGTGGGACTCCATCGTATTTCACAGACATCTTGGCGTCACGACCAGGCAACTGAGAGATTATGTAGAGAAATTTAGTTTTTTTTTATAATTTTACCCAGAGAATTTTTTTTAAAATTTGTTTGGGAAAATTTACTGTTTAGAATCTTTTCCAGGGAAGCTATTTTTAAATTTATGTGGGGAAGTTATGTTAAAATTGTGAGTGAAAATAATAAGACAGCTTTTACGGGAGAAAATACTGTTTCGAAATAAAAGGAAATTTATATTATCCGAGCTATCGCAACCCTGGCTATCAATACAAGAGAGTGATGTCCATACACTCGCTTTAAAAAGTATCCTTACGATTTTATTAGATAATCTGCTCTTAATAAGGTGCTGAAACTCTTCCGAATGGTCACCTCACAGTCCGTCTCAGCTGATCCGTGAGCATTCTGGATCACACACTTGTATTTGCCGGAGTCTGTTCCCACTGCTGGACGGATTTCTAAGTAAGCCTGAAGGTAGGCCGTAGAAGCATGGGATGAGTGAACTGTATCTCATAGAAAATGGACCAAGATCATGAATCATAGAAAATGGATCATAGAAAACTGACATCACTGGTCCTTAAACGATCGACCATAGAAAACGGGTCGTCAAATTAAACCATCATAAAACATATATAATCTAAAACAACAAACGAATATGACAAAGACTGAAAAAAAGGATAAGAACTGAAAATAAAATAATAACAAAGCAATTTAAGGACAAGGTGAAATAAAATGAGAAGTGACAATAATAAATGAAGGCATACTAAAGAAAACAAATTATTCTCCAGCTTTATTTACTGATTAATTAATTGGTTTATCTTTTAATTAACTTATTCATTATTCAGTATTAAATATAGTTTTTAATTATTTAACAAATTAAATAATCATTATAGCGAGTCTTGAATTGCAACCAAAAACAAACAAAACAAAATAAAAGTAAATAAATAAAGTAAACAAGAGACTAAGAACAAGAAACTTCAGAGGAAAAAACAATAACATAAAATAAAACAAAAAACAAAAGAAAAACGATAACACTAACTAAATAATAAACAGGACACGATAATAAATAAATAAACACATCCTCTAAGTTCTATCAACACACAGACAGGTCCAGCTCAGCAAAAGTTCATAAGGTGAATTATTCCTCGTAAGTAAAGATATCTGAATAATTTAAACGAAAGAATAAGATATCTCGTCTAGAAACTAAAACTGAATTAACACTGAGACTCTACCTTAACTAGAGATGTTCAATTAACACAAATTAGGAGACAAAATGACACTCTGATTTCAATGTTTGTCTAGTGTTATGAAATGTCTCTAGGTAAGGTAGAGTCTCAGTGTAATTTTGTCTTCTAACTTGTGCTAATTGAACGTCTCTGGTTAAGGTAGAGTCTCAAAATGACTTATTATTATTTTTGGAGGAAATTTTCCACCTTTGCTTAAATAAACTACACTGGAAATACTATATTAAAGTCTTAGGGAGGAGGACCCGGTGATGGGAGGGAAGGGGGTAGACTTGTCACCTCTTCCCCTCTCTGGACCTGCCAATTAAACACAACTACCAATTCTCAATAACAACACTAAACTACGTAACTATATACAGTTCACCTATAAACAACTGTACAGATTACAATTCAATATTCCCTGAACATCATCTGATTCCAGTATTCTGAGATAATGCGATTCTCAGTTTTCTATCCAAAAATTTAAATATTAACATTTCATACATTTTCCTCAATATTTTGTTCCGTATTCGAAGGAAAAAAGGTATAAACATCAAGGGGGAATTTATATAGCTACATAAATTCGATTCATGTCAATAAATACAAAAACTACCTCACCATTTTCTTTGATAAGGGAGGGAGGGAGGGGGGAACTTATCTAGAAATTCATTATGGATTCCTCTTAACAAACAACAACAGGTGGCTTTGTTGTTCATCGTGGTTCATCAAGGTCAGATTAAATTATAATCTGAGTCTTACCTGTTTCTGGAATGAATATAAAAACAGGATAGAATTAGGAGAGAGAATAAATTAAATAACAGAGAGAAAATGGATAAATATTACGTGATTTAATAGACGATAATTAATTAGCTAAGGTTTTGTAAGGTCATTCATACATAAATACAGACAGACAAAAGAATAGCTATGCTTATATACACAATTATACATATACACAAATGTACATATATACATAAACCATATAGATACAGGAGGTGACAAAACTACTTAAAGATCTATGGTAACTTTCAGACAGCACAACTCAAATCATCAACACGATAAGTCACACTCCCAAACACAATTCCAATATACATGTAAATCACAAACTCCTTTATCCACTGTATATAAATAGGAACTTAACCCAATTACTAGCAAGGTGTAAAAAATTAAAAAAATAGGACCCATCATTTACGCTTGTCTGATCGTTTCTATTAACGTAAAAAAAAATTATGGAAGGATTATGTAAATGAAGTGAATTGTTATATATTTTTTGGGGGGAAAGACTTGATGATGATAATAATTTTGGATTTTTTTTTTATAGATTTTTGGAAATTATGAAGAATTACGTGAATTATTGCTTTTAGGTGATACGAACAAGTGTATGTATGTATGTATGTATGTATGTATGTATGTATGTATGTATGTATGTATGTATGTATGTATGTATGTCAAATTCCCTTATTTGTTTCTCTCCTTTATTGCTCTTCTGCTTCCTCTTGTTAATGCTTCAGATTTCCTTGTTTCCCTCCCTCCCACACTAACGAGAGGGGGAAGAGACAACATGGGTGTTATGTTGATCAGTAAATAAAAAAGATGTAACTTATGGCTGAGGTTTTTGGCAGACACCATAAAGAGGCCAATGATTTGACCTCTTCTTCCTGTTCGACCTTTCCTTCCTTCCTCCTCCTTCTCATCTTCCTGTTCCTCCTCCTCCTCCTCGATCTCTTCTCTTCCTCATCCTCCCCTTCTCCTTCTCCTCCTCTACGCAGATGTGACTACCCGAGCACAACACTCACACCCTATCACCCAAGCACCACACACACCCTATCACCCTACTCACCCTACACACCCTACTCACCCTATCACCCTACACACCCTACACACCCTACTCACCCTACTCACCCTACACACCCTACTCACCCTATCACCCTACTCACCCTATCACCCTACTCACCCTATCACCATCGTAGGTGTAGAAGGCTCGGTCACCAAGCTTAATCTCTTGGCCATCCTTATACCATTTCATGTGGGGTACTGGTCCACCCTTCATTGCCACAGGGAGCCGGATAGTCTGGCCCTCGTCAAAGCTCATGTCCTTCAGGCCCTCAGAGAACCTGGCCGCACTGTCGGGTTGTCCATCCTCCCGCTTGAATCCTGTAGGAGGCCACGATGGAGGTTTTATTGAAGTATTTATTGTGTAAGTCGGGTTGTGTTTATCGATCTGGTCCATCTATCTAGACCAGAAGAGCCTTATGATAGTGTAGGAGTAGGGAGAGGTGGAGAGAAGGAGGAGGTGATGGAGGAGGAGGAGGAGGCGAAGAAGAAGAAGGAGGAGGAGGCGATGGAGGTGGAGGAGGAGGCGAAGAAGAAGAAGAAGGAGGAGGAGGCGATGGAGTAGGAGGAAGAAGAAGAAGAAGGAGGTCTTACCGAGGACTGAGAGAGTAGCAGAGGACTTGGAGTCACCCTCAGGATTCTTGGCCACACAGGTGATCTCGCCCATGTCACCCTCCGTAGCTGAGTCGATTTGGAGGATGACTGTTCCGTCTGGCTCAACAATCTGCTTGAAGTGTTTACCGTCGATGTTGATTGGCTGACCGTCCTTCAACCTAGGGGTGGGGGGGGGAGGGGGGGTGAATTATTCCGAAATCATTAATTAACCTAAACAAAATAAGTAACCTAACTTAACCTAACCTAACTTAACCTAACCAAACCTAACCTAAATTAACCTAACCTAACTTAACCTAACCTAACTTAACCTAACCTAACTTAACCCAACCTAACTTAACCTAACCTAACTCAACCTAACCTAGAATAGCTCATTATAACTGACGTAATTAACTCTCATATAATGCACAGTAATTACCACGCACAAGGTTACCTGAAAGAGCTATATTATCTTACCTGGCAACATAATTAATTCCTACACGTACACAACTTGTTAAACTGTCACGATTCAGCTTTGACCTTAAATTAACTTGACCTAAGGTAATGGAACATTTAACTATCTCGACCTAAGTTGACCTGATAACTCAGTATTTGACTTGAATTGACAAGATATTTCACCCTCTTGACCTTTCAATTTGACCTTAATTGACCTCTTAATACTTACCACTGGACCTCTGGCCTAGGTGAGCCTCCAAGCTTGACCTCCATCCTGACAGGGTAGCCGAGGATGACCTTGCTGGCCCTTAAGCTCTGGATAAACTCTGGCCTTGAAGGAGGAGCTGGAGAAACGGATGATGAAGAAGGGAATAAGCAAAACAATGATGACGAAAATGATAATGACGGAAAAATAATGATAATGATAATAATAACAATAACTTGATAACAATATTAAAATGATAAAATATAAATGAACTAAATGATGAGAGAGAGAGAGAGAGAGAGAGAGAGAGAGAGAGAGACCCATACTCATTCACCTCCCACCAATCACACACGATGGTTGATGACGTCAGACCTAACCACACCCAATCATTAATGTTCAACGTTGTAGTGACAATATGGTTATTCATTAACCCTATTAACAACTCGTTGACCCAATTTGATTGATGAATGCGAGGTAGTTATGTTGGATGGCAATTTGTGATTATAACAGCAGTTGGGTTATTACTGTGTGTTAGTTTCAGTCCTGGTATGTATGTATGTATGTATGTATGTATGTATGTATGTATGTATGTATGTATGTATGTATGTATGTATGTATGTGTGTATGTATGTATGTATGTATGTGAATGGAATGTGGCAATTTTTTTCTCTCTTTGTCTGTGTATGTCTCTCTCTCTCTCTCTCTCTCTCTCTCTCTCTCTCTCTCTCTCTCTCTCTCTCTCTCTCTCTCTCTCCCTTCTCTCTCTCACTCTCTCCCTTCTCCCGACTCACTCCCTCCCTCTACTTACGTGTCACAACCAGAGAAGTGTCGGCCTCTACAGCGCCTTCTTCGTTAGAGGCGTGGACGGTATACCTGCCCGCGTCCTCCTGGCTCACCACCTTGAACTCCAGGTAATAGAGTCCTTCGGCAGTGACTCCTGTGTCGATGACGTCTGTAGGATACACCTGGTGGCCATCCTTCAACCTAGAGAGAGAGAGAGAGATGATTGGAAGAAGGAGTTGTGGTTGTTGTGGTTGTTGTTGTGGTTGTTGTGGTTGTTGTTGTGGTTGTTGTTGTTGTGGTGGTGGTGGTTGTTGATGTTTTTGTCGTGTTTGTCGTTGTTGTTGTTGTTGTTGTTATTATTGGTATCATCATCATCATCATTTGTCCTCTACTGTACCCTAATAAGTCACTATACTACTGTTTATAGTGACTGTGAATTTCAAGCTAATGGTGTGATAGTGACGGATGACTCTTGACTGGTTGGTGTTAGTGAAAATAGTGATGATGATGGTGGAAAATTATTATAAAAAAGTCCTACGAGTTCAACTCACCATTTGACCTCTGGCTTGGGGAATCCTATGATCTTGACCTCAAACTTGCAGGATTTGCCGTCCATAATCTCTTGGTCTTTAGGTTTCCTGGTGACCTTTGGCTTCATACGAACAGCTGTGAGGGAGGGACAGAAAGAGAGAGAGACGCTGATAAATGTGGAATAGGAGAAATATGAGATAGAATAACTAAATATATGGAAAGAGGTCTCACACACACACACACACACACACACACACACACACACACACACACACACACACACACACACACACACACACACACACACACACACACACACACACACACACCGCCTCCTCCTTCAAACAAAAGCCAGCTGACTCCTTCAACACAGCGGCAGGTTATGAGAGCTCTGAGACGATGTTTTTGGCCCTAATGTCTTACTTTCCTACCTCCACCTGCCTCACCTTCCTACCTCCACCTGCCTCACTTTCCTACCTCCACCTACCTCACCTTCCTACCTCCACCTGCCTCACCTTCCTACCTCCACCTGCCTCACCTCTCTATCAAAACTCCCCTCAGATAAAAACATGACCTCAAGTGTTGACGGTGCCCAGGGAGCCACTCAGGGTGTTAACTTCTAAACAACAGGTGACCAAGAAAATACCTTTATATCTTTTCACCTTATACTCGAGGACCGCTTCAAGGTGCTGCTTCAAGGAAATGCCAAGTTGGGTCGTGTTTACCTCTAGCGACACAAGTACTTTCTAGATTATCGTTTGATATAAAATTCACGAGAGTAAAAAATATATATGTATGGATGTTGTTTTTATTGACTTTTAATTAACTCACCTAACCTAACCCAACCTAACCTAACCTAATCTAACCCAAATAAACCCAAACCCAATCAGCTAGTATACTCACGCCTGACCACAAGGGCGGTCTCAGTGCTGGTCTCGTTAAGCTCGTTGCTGAACTTGAGGCGGTACTGGCCAGAGTCGATGGAGGAAGCCTCGACCAGCGTCAGGGAGATGGTGGCTTCACAGTACGAAGTCTTCTTGATGTCGATCTTAATCTTTCCAGAGGCCTCACACACGTCTCCGTCCTTGGTCCTGATGGGACGGAGAGGACAAGCCGGGTCAGATGATGGCGGGATAGACGGAAGGGACAGAACACTGGACAGGATACGGAAAGACGACGAGGAGAGGTATTTGATACGAGGACTGAGGAGGATGAAGGTGAGAGACAGAAACAGACAGAAAGAGACAGAAACACACAAAGACAGACAGATAAACAGAGAGGAATATGGGACAGAAGCAAGGGATGGAAGGAAGGAAGAGGAAGAATGATGATTGAGATTCTTGACTGTCTACATGCAGATGACTGGAAGAATGACCTACGTGGGCGAACTACACTATGGGTGACCTGACTCCCACACACGGGGGGCGGGGGAGTGTAGGGGGTGTGTGTGTGGGAGGAGGGATGTGTGTGTGGGGGTGGAGGGTCTTTCACTATAGGGGGAGGAACCATACTATACAGGGGTGCTAATACACTATATAGAGGAAGGGGATGATTATATACACTATACTGTATGGGAATGACTGATGACAACATAGACTCTTGCTGACATTGAGGGAACTCCTGACACTTACTGACAAAATAACAATAGGAACTCCTGACACTTACTGACAAAATAACAATAGGAACTCCTGACACTTACTGACAAAATAACAATAGGAACTCCTGACACTTACTGACAAAATAGCATTAGTAACTTACACCTAACACCTGCTGACACAATGATATTAATAACTGCTGACATTTGCTGACACAATTAACATTAATATTTAGTTCTTCATTATTTCATTCTACTTGAAAAAAAACCCACTTATTTTTTCCTCGTGTTTTCTTCATCATTATACATTATCTTCTTCTTCACTGTCTCCCTCAATCATTAACCTTCCCTTCCCATCTCCCTTGTTTTTTGCCTTTACCATTACACCTCTTTTATTCCATCTCCTATTTCTCATTTTCTTCTTACCTTCTCTCTTTCTTTCTCAACCTCCTTCCTTTATTCTTTCTTTATCTTCTCTTTCCTCCCCTCCTCCTCCTTTTTTCCTTCCTTATCCCATCGTAGAGAAAAAATAACATCTCTTTACCCTCTCCCTCTCTTCTTTTCCTCCTTCAAGTCCATACATTTCCCTCTCTTTTCCTCTCTTTTCCCTCTTATCATTTACCCTCACCTCTCACCTCCTACTTCTCCCCTTCCTCCTTTATCACTCTCCTCACCTTCTCTTCTTCAATCATCTTCCTCACCTCTTACTTCCTCCTAATTCTCTTCCACTACCTAATTTTTCTTCCTCCTCTTCTTCTTCCCTCTTCCTCTCCCCCCCCCTTCCCCCCCTTCTTCCCCCCCCCCTCTTCCTCCTCCAACTCACCAGACAAAGTTAGGCCTTGGTGACGCTCTTATCTTGACAGTAAGCGTAACATCATCACCCTCAGCGCCCTTCGTGACATTATCCAGGCCTTCCACAACCTCGCAGGGTAGTTTCTTCTGCACCAGCGAGGCCTTAGAGCTACACTCCCCCACCAGGCTTTTGGCTGCGACTGACACCTGCAGGAGAAAGGGTAGCCACAGGTGAGGTTTGGGTTAATTAAGATACGTTAAGGTAAATTAAGGTATTCTATTGTAAATTATGGTTTATTAAGGTAAATCCAGGTAAATCAAGTAAATTAAGAATAAATCAAGGTAAATCAAATTAAATCAATGAAAATAAAGGTAAATCAAGGAAAATTCAGGTAAATCAAGGTAAATCAATGAAAATAAAGGTAAATCAAGGAAAATTCAGGTAAATCAAGGTAAATCAAGAATAAATCAAGGTAACTCGGTCACTCACATCACCGTAGTCGTCCATGTTGAGGTCCTTGATGGTGAGGCAGTAGACGCCAGGCTCAGGGTTGGTGAACACGTGGCGATCGTCCGCCTTCACTGGCACTCCGTTCTTCTTCCATTGGCACTCAGGCAGCGGTAGACCTGACGCTCGGAGGGTGAAGGTGACGTCATCTTCTAGACAGTAGTTCAGGTTCTCCAGGGCGCCAATTACTGCTGGTTTCTCGGCTGTGTAGTGAAGATTAGATAGATAGATAGATAGATAGATAGATAGATACATACATAGATAGATATATAGATGAATAATTAAACAGAAAAACCTAAAGCAAAAATTCATTCTTAATAATAATAATAATAATAATAATAATAATAATAATAATAATAATAATAATAATAACAATGACAATGAAAATAATAATGACAATGATCATGATAATAATGACAATGGTAATAATGACAATGATAATAACAACTTCGTCTCCCCCTCCACCCTAGTTCAAGTCCAATATTACCTGTGCTAATTAAGACGTCCTCAGCAAGTAATTTTCAGGTATCGTTAATGACACTCTCACCTGTCCTGGTTCTTACCTGTGGGTCAATTATCTTCTTCTGCCACCTTTCTTTCTTTTTCTCTCTCTCTTTCTTTCTTTGTATCTGACTCTCTTTCTCTCGTTATCTCTATTTCTCTCTCTCTCTCTCTCTCTGTCCCTCTTTTGTTTCCTCTTCTCCCTCTTCAAAACTATTCTTAATTCTCTATATTTTCTGTTCATATTTCTATCTTTTCCATTATCTCTCTCTCTCTCTCTCTCTCTCTCTCTCTCTCTCTCTCTCTCTCTCTGCTATAACATTAATCACCTTGTTTTTTCCCCTCTCGGTGTTCCCCTCTTACCACCTCTCTCTTAATCTTTCCTTCCCTCCTATTCCTCCTACTTCTCCTCTTCCTTTCACTCTTTCTTCCTTTCCTTCCTTTCATTTTCACTACCCTTCCTTAATTTCACCTTCCTTTCTCCTCACCTGTCACTCTCACCAGCTCTCCCTCACTCAGCATCCCTCCCCCCACTCCCCTCCCCCCTCCCTCCCCCTCTTTCTTTCCCCTCCCCGTTCCTCTCCCCCCTTTCACTACCCAGTCCAGATACTCACTGTGGACCTTGACAGTGCAGGAGCCAGCCTCACTACCAGCAGCGTTCGAGGCAGTGAAAGTGATCTTGCCAGCGTCCTCTAACACGGCAGAGTGGATCCGGAGGCCATAAATCTCCTTCTCCTCATTCCGTGTGTACTCGAAGTGTTCTCCGTCGTGTAGTTCCTTCCCCATGAGAGTCCTACGGGTCAGGGAAAGCCAAGGATATCCATTAGGAGGGTTTAGTGATAATATCCTACGGTCAGGTACAGCATTGGATTAATATTAAGTGTCTTGCAATCTTCTTCGTGTGGTTCCTTCCCTCTGAGCATCTTACAGAAGAAAGATGGAGGTGAGGAAAGTCCTTATTTGATCTGCAGGATGAGGGAAGGAGCCTAAGGGAGCACAAGAGGACGATACTCTTAATATCCTACATTGTTGACAGGAACATTGGACTTAATAATCCTCAAACATCCTACCTATAAGGAGGGACAAGGGGATGATATGGAACTATTGGGAAGGATTGTATAGTGAGGAGCGAGATAGATATCCTTGGAGGATTACATAACTGATGACAATTTAATATCCTACGTTGGGGATGGATATACAAGTCCTACGATAGCTACATGAAGGATACATACTCCACATCCTAAGACCCTAGTAGATAAACAATAAAGATATCCTTCAAGTATCCTACAGAGAGAAAGGATTTATGTATAAAATCCTATTACTGTAAGGAGGGGGGGGGGGATATGGGTCCTATGAACTCCTGTACGTGTCTGTGAGAATCTGTGAGTGACTGGATGCGTCTCGGAGTTCCTGAAAGTGTCTGTGAATGTCTGTAAGTATCTCTAGACGTCTATGAACTCCTGTACGTGTCTGTGAATGTCTCTAGACGTCTATAAACTCCTGTACGTGTCCGTGAATGTCTCTAGACGTCTATAAACTCCTGTACGTGTCTGTGAATGTCTCTAGACGTCTACAAACTCCTGTACGTGTCTGTGAATGTCTCTAGACCTCTACAAACTCCTGTACGTGTCTGTGAATGTCTCTAGACGTCTATAAACTCCTGTACGTGTCTATGAATGTCTCTAGACGTCTATAAACTCCTGTACGTGTCCGTGAATGTCTCTAGACGTCTATAAACTCCTGTACGTGTCTGTGAATGTCTCTAGACGTCTATGAACTTCTGTACGTGTCTGTGAATGTCTCTAGACCTCTATAAACTCCAGTACGTGTCTGTGAATGTCTCTAGGCGTGTGTTAACCACTCACCAGACCATGGTAGGCGGGGGGAAGGCGTGGATAGGCACAGTGAGGTGGAGGTCCTTCCCGTAATCAACAGTCTCGTCGGCTAGTGGTCCAGGTTGTGGCTTCACCAACACCCCCATGCGGCACTGACGAGAGAGAGAGAGAGAGAGATGCTATTATTGGCCGCGTGAGAGTAGCAGTGGGGAGAGGGGAGGGTAGGGGGTGAGATAACGGGTGAGATAAAGGGTGAGGGAAGGGGGGGAGGGAGTAAAGAGGGGTAGAGAGGGAAGGGATGGAGAGGGAATAGAGAAGGGGGAGAGAAGGAAGTATAGAGAGGAAGAGAGGGAGGAGAGGGTAGGGAAGAGAGTTGAGATAATAGAGGAAGAAGAGGTGAAGGAGAGGAAAAAGGGGGTGGAGGAAGGGATAAGGGGTGAGAAAGGGTAGAGATGAGATAATGAGGGAGAATGGAGGGAGAAGAGAATGAGGGAGGAGCGAGAGGGAAGGAAGATAAAAGTGAAAGGGAGGGGAGAGACTGAGATAAGGGGGGAAGTGAGAGTATGAATAGAGATGAGGGAGAGGAGAGAGATGAGAAAATGAAGGAGGGAGGGAGGGAGAGAGAGAGAGGATGGTAAGGGAGATGAGGGAGATTAAGGGAGGAAATGTGGTGATTGATGAGGGAACTATCAGTGATTGGAGGGAAAATAACATTGATTGGAAGAAATTGGAAGTGATTAGATAAAAAAAAATAACCAAGGAATCAAAAAAATAAAAATGATTCGGGAAAAACCCTACAGGTAATCACACCTTATTGAGAGTTAATTACACGGAAGGAATCACGTTCAGGTAAAGATGTAAATACCTGGACACACACACACACACGCACACACACACACACACACACACACACACACACACACACACACACACACGCACACGCACAGCACACACACACACACACACACAACGAAGCCACAGTAGCAATCTGATAATTTTTTTCCCAATACACAAACAACAGAGAGAGCTGATTGGTCTTGTGGGAGGAGCTGTACACAAGAGCCTAAATGGTTTTTATATTACAGCCAAAGGGAAATTCATTTTTTCTCGTAGGATGTTGTATACTAAAGCTATTTATACGACCTGGATTTAAAAATAATAAAACTCTGTGAGTGTAAAGTGTTAAGTGTTAAGTGTTAAGTTGTAAAGTGTTAAGTGTTAAGTGTAGAGCGCTTAGTGTAAAGTGTTGGAAGTGTTAGGTGAAAATTTTTAAGTGTAAAGTATTAAGTGCTAAGTGTTAAGTGTAAAGTGTTAAGTATACAATATTGGAAGTGTTAAGTGTTGCAAGTGTAAAGTGTTATAAGTATGTATGTTAGACAAGTGCTACAGAAACAAGTGTTGTAAGGTATCTCAATCATTCAAGTGCTACAAAGTGTTATATCGTACAAACCGCTACAAAAACAGATGTCTGTAAAGTATCTTATAAGTGACTAATTAAGTATTTAAGTAATTCATTGTTTTACTTACGGTAGTCTGACACTCGCCATGTTGGTTCTTGCCCTTGACAGTGAAGGAACATTTCTCCGTTTCCTTCACCTCCTTCACTATCAAGGTGTGCCAACCAGACATCCGTTCACAGGTGACCTCAAACTTCTCAGAGGTAGGCAGTGGCTTCCCGTCCCTCAGCCTGGAAGAGAGATGGAAGGGGAGACTGAGTGGGTTTTTGCTTCTTGTGGTCGGGGTGAGGGAAGGGGTAGAGGGAGGGGATGGGTTTGTTGTGTTTTGTGGAAAGGGGCTGGCTGGAAGGTGGCTGGCTGGCTGGAAGGTGGCTGGCTGGCTGGAAGGGGTTGGCTGGAAGGGTCTGGGTGGAACGGGTGGAAGAGGAATGTTTACAATGCTGTTTTGTTGGTGTATTTGGGTGTTATTTTAAGAATTCTGAGAGAGGATTTTAAGACAAAGAAAGTTGGAGGTAACTCTTGTGTTTTTTTTCCCCACTCTTTTCTTTCATATTTTCTTTTTAATTAATCTGATTTTCTTTCTTTTCTCTCGCTCTCTATTTACCCCTTTCTCTTTCTCTATCTTTCACACTCTGTTCATTTTTCTCTCTCTCTTTTTTTATGTTCTTTGTATCTCTCTCTGTCTCTCAATCACTTTCCATTATCTCTCTCTACTCTCTTTACCTCCCAGTCTCTCTCTAGTTCTCTATTACTGCTCTCTCTCTATTCACTCTCTCTCTCTCTCTCTCACCTCCCTCCCACTCTCTCCCTGCTTTACAATCATTTCTTAAAGTCTGTTCAGTTTTCCTTTACAAACTCCAACCAAATCCTTTGACCACATCTCACAGGGCCAACACAAGACTCGCCTCACCTACTTCACTCAAAGGATAAGGACAAACTCACTACAAAAGCAACACGAGTAAAACGAAACAAAAATTGGTGCAGAGAGTGTGTGGGTGTGTGTGTGGGTGTGTGTGGGTGTGTGTGTGTGTGTGTGTGTGTGTGTGTGTGTGTGTGGGTGTGTGTGTGTGTGCGTAATGTTGACTCACGGATGTATAACTATTTGTTACTTCAAAGGCGTGGGGAAATTTGAGGGTTGGTGGGGAAAAAATGGTAGTGACGTGGGGAAAAATGTCACATACTCATTATTCAGATAGGTACTATCTCTTGATACTTACCTTACTCCCGACACTTTCCTACCCAAGCAGCGTAACACTTAAATAACAATATATCACTTCTCTGTCACTTTCCTTAATATTTCCAGTGGCACTTTCCCTCCCCATCCCTATTACTCTCCTTAATATTTCAATGGTACTTCCCTTGCCCCCCTCTATGAAGTACTTTCCTACTCCTCTTGGCACTGTGACACTTACCATTGGACCTCAGGGATCGGGTCGCCTACGATTTGGCACTTGATGACGGCGTCTGTGTGTTCCTTTACAAACACGTCCTCTAGTTTGTTACGGACTCGAGCCTCCTTCTCTGCGGGGGTAGAAAACGACACAAGTGGTGAGTGTGGTAGTGTGGTGTGGTGAAGGTGTGGTGTGGTGGTGAAGGTGTGGTGTGGTGGTGTGGTGAAGGTGTGTGGTGAGGGTGTGGTAGTGGTGGTGAAGGTGGTGTGGTGAAGGTGTGGTGAAGAGGTGGTGTGGTGGTGAAGGTGTGGTGTGGTGGTGTGGTGAAGGTGTGATGAAGGTGTGGTAGTAGTGGTGGTGAAGGTGGTGTGGTGAAGGTGTGGTGAAGGTGTGGTAGTGGTGGTCGTTGTGTGGTGGTGGTGTAATGGTGTGGTGTGGTAGTGTGACATAGTGTGGTGGTGGAATGGTGATCTACACACACACACACAACATACCATCAGCCACATCCACTCTCGTACAGGTCCATACAACATACCTCAAAATAACCTTCACGCCAGGATGACTATACACACAGGTATGATCAATTACCTGGCCAAAACGATGATTAAAACTCGGCATTATACGTTTCACAAATATCAAATATCACCAATATCAATTTACTCTCCCACTGATCCCGAATAAAGTTGACCTGATATATGTATGAGTGGAAAAAGGTCAGATAAGCTACATCAAATAAAATCAAGCTTAATATATCATTCGTATTTATATATGGGACGTAAGTTTTATTGAAATTTAAAGAAAAAGTTCCACGGAAATCTAAATAAAAAAAAGTTCTTAAAACACCCTCTCTCTCTCCCACCCCATCCCACCACACCCCACCCCACCCCACCCCACCCCCATGAGGTTCTTGCCCTGCGTCTTGAAGTAAACGAGACCACCCCCTCACGTGGTTAGATTGCATGCAAATTGAATGAGTTGCAAGGTGGCTATACCGAGCACAGTCATCAAGGAGTAATGCAATCAGAGGGAGTCGCTTGTCCCAACACATATTAGAGGTAATGATAGGTCAACGCTCTCTGTCTGTCTGTCTGTCTGTCTGTCGTAGTCCCTCACTCATCTCCCACCTTAACATACCTAATCAAATCCTCCTTTACCCCCTCTCTCTCTCTCTCTCTGTCCCCTCTCTCTCCTCTCCCTCTCTCTCTCTCTCTCTCTCTCACCCACTCACACATTCACCACCCACATTTCACCTAACCTAACCATCACCCCCCCAACACACACTCACCCTTGACAGTAACTTGGCCCACTTCCTCAACCTCCTTGATCTTGTTCTTCAGCACGCACTTATATTCCCCTGAGTGTTCTGGGTCACTGCCAATCCTCTCCACTGTGTACTTCTTGCCATCGAAAGAGAATTTAACACTGTCCTCTTCCTCCTTCAATTCCTTGCCGTTGCAGTACCTGTTAATTGGATCAACAGAAGGTGTGAATGAGTTGGTTGATTTTTGTGGTAAGATGGAGTATTGATTGACTTACTTACTCATATACTGACGGAGAAGATGAAAACAGGGTGTATATTTTTTTGTTTTTGTTATTTTGTTATTTTCCTGTTATCTCGTCCTTTGTCCTTGTTGGTTAGGTTAGGTTAGGTTAGGTTAGGTTATCGTTAAGGTATTAGATGAAATAAGGTAGGGTGCCTAATCTTCACGTGATCTAATTTTCCAGATTAAATGCATCACACAAAAGTACCGTACCAACATTCCCTTGCAACTTGCAGAAACGTGATGGTATTAAGGTTTAGGACACGTACTGTATATATGATGTTGCTGTGTGAGTGTAAAGAAAGTGTGCAAAATTTATCCTTTTAGTGTAATTGAAAGTGAGTTTAAAAAGGTTTATTTTGTGAGAGAAACTCATTTTGCAATTTATGTAATGGATGCGTGTAGTGAGTCCCTTACTATCTGAAACAACGTATTTTTTGTTATTATTATTATTATTATTATTTACATACTTTACTATATGAATTTTAAACAAATAAGACCAATGGTATTTTTCCAATCTCTTTTATTTGTAATATTTCGTAGACAAACTTAAACAAAAATAAGGAGTTACAGATTTGGTTTTCTTTTTCGTCTCATCTTCGGATAATGAGATTCAGGTGAACTTAAGAGTGCAGGAGAAAAGTCGGTATCCTGCACGAAGAAACTCAGATTTTTACCTAATTTACAAGATGTGGATAACCATTATTATCGCTAATTAACAAAAACGTATAATTAATAGGACGATGATGTTATTTTTTTGTGAATAATTTACACAACATTATTTCAATCAACGTCGCTTGAAATAAAGAGACCAGGTCAGGACCTGACCTGTACTGACCTGAGTTAGCTTAGGTTATTTTAGGTAAGTGATGTCAGTAGAGGGCGGAGTGATGTCAGAAGGGGGCGGGGAGATAACAAAAGGGGAGGAGCATTGTCGGAATTGGGCTACTTGATATCATAGGGGGCGGAGCTATATCGTAAGGGGGCGGAGCGATGTCAGAATTGGGCGAAGAGATATCAAAAGGGGGCGGAGCTACTGTATATCGTAAGGGGGCGGAGCTATACCATAAGGGGGTGGAGCGATGTCGGAGGGGGAGGAGTCAAGGATCCCTCTAAGACTGTAATAGGGGGAAGCACTCAAGTTCCGCCTATTATACTCTCAACAGGTACTCAAATTAAATCCAACTGGACGAGGTAGGACGTCCTGAAGTCACTTGACCTCAGCGAGTGGACAAAGACGACGACAACCCCAGTGTATGAGAAGAATATATAATATAATTCCTTATAAACTATTAAATCATTGAATAAATTAATACAATATTTTTTGAAATTGTTAAAAGTAAAAAAAAATATTAAAGATAATAATAATATTTGTATACATATTGCAACTAATAAAAATACAACAATTTTACGACAATATCATTATCATCATCATTACTACTGAAAATGACATATCACCATTATTATTATCACTACTGCCAGCATAATTATCATCATTTAGTTTTCTGTTTATAATCTTAGTACCAGCAACACTCACCAGGTAGCCACAGCCTCGGGTACAGCAGTCGCCTCCACCTCCAGAACGAATTTATGCATGGCGATGAAACTCTTGCCATCCTTGAAGTTACTTTTTACGATGTGCGGAGGAGCTGTAGTGGTGAGAGAAGTGGTGATTAGTGGTGCAAGTAGTGGTGAGAGAGAGAGAATGTGTGTGTATCTTTAAAACTTTAGTGAGAGGTTTTCAGAATCAGTCACAGGGATGGGAGAACGATACCATGGGTGATTCGTATCAATAGAGAGTTAGATTAGACTCTATAGACGGATGGATTAAGGAATAGTTTATATAGATAACCTGTGTAATATCTTCATACTCAAGGGATTAAGTCAGTGTACTCAAAGGGTTAGTAATCATCGTAAGAGTCATCGTACTCAAGGGGTTAAATCATCGTCCTCAAATGGGGGGAGGAAATTTACGTACACAACAAATGTCAAGTAAAAAGTAACTATTTCCTTTAATTGAGTTGAGAAGGAAATTGAGTTTGAGATTGACTAACAAATTATAAGTACCTAAAGCTATTGATGTTCTGATGGAGTGTGAAAAGTTGGAATTGAAAGTTGAAATGAAAAATGAATTTGAGAGATGGATTGGAAATAATGATCTTACAAGTTATGAATAATTTAAATGGAAATATAGTTGGAGAAAGGGATTGAAAAATATGAATAGGTCCTAATCATTGTCATTTTTTTAGGCTTATGAGTATTTGAAAAGAAAATCTACCAAAAGATTGGAAATGGTGAAGAGATTACCTAGACTAATATTTTAAGGATTAGGAAGAGTTATAAGGTATGTAAGTCATAGAGAAAGATTGGAAAAATATGAAAAGATCACAATCACTGATCTTGTAAGGATTAGAAATAGTTGAGAGATTGAGTCAAAGATTAGGGAGACAGAATTAACAATATGGGGTCTTATACTGTGTAACTCCATAGAACGATCAGAGACTTGTGTTTTGTGTCAATATTTGGACAACAAATAAACAAAAACACCCAAGAACTAACACAAACAATGAAGTAAAACTATATAAACAAACAAACAAATAAACACACAAATTTACATAACACATAATTTAATTTTTATATGAAAAATATCCTGAAGGAATTGATGTTTTGAAATAATATCCTAAAGCTGAAAGAAGGTTGTCAAGGGACTGTGTGTGTGTATGTGTGTGTGTGTGCGTGTGTGCGTGTAAACCACAATTTAATCTTTGCCTTCAACACTGATTATTCATCTCGTATCACTGAAAAATATTACAAAACGGCTCCTCCAGAGACTGAATCCTCAACCAAGACTCTTTTGATGTTTCGATGAATATATGAAGGTAATTTAGATCAGTAGAACGAATCCCTGAAAAGATCAACGTGATTCGATATCTCCAGTCCATCATTTGGTGCTTCGAATACCACAGTGAATTCAATTAGATCACTAGAGCGAATCCCTCAAAGCACCCACGTGATTCGAAACTTCTAAATGTATCAAAGAACCTGAGTCTCTTGTAGTTCGAACCTCATTTACAGTATTTACAGGGTAGAGTATGAACACTATGGGGGGTCTCGGTAGGTAGGTAAGAGAAGAGGAAATAAAAGGAAGAAGGAGAAAGGAAGTGGCAGGATGGAGAAAGGAAAAGGACGATAGAGGAAGGAAAAAAGGAGGAGGAAAGAAAGGGCAGGGTCACTATCCCATGTATGACGTCATAGATCTACGTCACTCACAAATCTAACCAACAAACACAAAATCGAAAGATATAATAATTTAGCCTCCACTCTTAACCCACCGAGTATTGAAAGGTTAAATCGTCGTCGTCAAAAGACAGATTACCTTCCAGATACTGCCAAAAGATTACTATGAAAGAGCAATTATCTTATTACTTCCCGTGAGGCATATTAACGTTATCCCAATACATGATCTGACTTCGGTTTTGGTTTAGATATAAAATATTAAACGAACAAACTTGACTTGAAACGAATTTAATATTAACAACAATTAACTAAAATATGTTCTTATATTATGTTCCGAATGAAGAGGATTAATATACCAATTAATTCATACTGAGAGTTGAATTATGTTTGTACCGGAAGACAGAACAATTAGTGACGACATGTGTAATCCTTAATGATCAATTCAATCCTCCTATGGGATCAGGTACATTGAATATTATACCTGGAATTACACTGATTATTTTATTTATTATTTTTTTATCAGAGGCTAATGTGTGTAATTCTATAACAAGTCGTAATCTGGGTTAATGGAATCACAGAAGGTCGAAAGGTCGAGCAAAAAGTCATATAACCTGTACAGCATTGAATTTCGACTAAGACTCTACCTTACATAGATCCGTTCACTGAGCACCAGATAGAAGATACGTCACTGCCGATGAGTGAAACACCGCAGCGTCTGGAACTCACTCGTCCTTGAAGGTTCCCGACTAATTGATGGGAGAGCGGTAAAGGGGAAAACAAAACTGAGGATAGGAGCTTCAGTGACCCAAGATTACGATTCAGAGGTTCAATTTGGATAATTTGAGAAAGGGTTCATTTCAGTGTGTCTGTTGGTTCGAAAATATTCCGAAACACCAAGCACACGACTGAGCAAGAGGTTGTAATGCAGTAGTTTCAGTGGTTCAGACAAGACAGTGATTCAGTGGTTCGGACAAGACAGTGATTCAGTGGTTCGGACAAGACAGTGATTCAGTGGTTCAAAGAAGACAATGAGGACTCTGAACCAAGTATCGAACTGTAGGTGTAAAAGTCTCGAATATCACTTGACGAATTTCCCTCAGCACAAAATTAAAGTTACGTCAAAATACAATACACATATACACATAATACAACACTAAATACTGTAAGTAGACACAGATTATTAAGAAACATAACAGATATATACAAATAAAGCAACAGGACAGATTATACCAAGAGAAAAATAAGATATAAACATTATACAAAAGTTATATTAAATCGTAAGTCATCGACGTAATGGTCACTATATACTAGAAGAGAAATAGAACGAACATATTACAGAGTATAAACTACGTGTTTTGTGAGGTATAACGACCAAACGAGTCTACTGAAGCGTGTCATATACGGTATATGCCCAAATATGCTTACTCATGCTTTGGTTAATTATAGAATCTTAAGTTTAATAATCGATTTTTAAAATAATAAGTAAAGAAGCTTTTTTTTTTTTTTACTTTTATTTATTTTTTTAGTTTTGTCGTTTAATATTATTCAATTCGCTTATTGCAATTTAAGTGGGTTAAGTTAGTTTTAATTGGGTCGCTGTTTAATGGTTCGCCCTGACGCTGTGAGCTACGGTGAGTTGATGAGAACATTGCTGGTGTTAACTAGTGTCTGAGGCAGCGGTCCTACCACCAGCTCGTGCTTTAAGGAGAAGAAGGAAAAAGAGAAAATAAATAATAATTGAAGACTTTTACCAAAACAAAAGAGAGAAAGAAGCAACTGGTTTTTATTGATCTGAAGTTAGAACATTGAAGCGGCAAGTGAGGCAGCGATGGTAGTTGTTATTTCTCCTTTCTACTTCTTCATCTTCTTTACCTCCTCCTTCGTTGTCTAATGAAGCCACCATTGGGCTTCTACTTAGCTTCTCCTGCGGTTTCTTTCTCCCCTTGGAAACCTCCTGAGAGATGGAGAGTTCACCAGCATTGACTAAACCTTCCGTGTTCGGAGTCGCAAGGTTCGAACTTTCGGCATCGGCTTTGGCTTCATTATCAGAACGTGAGGGTGAGGAGGTCAAGTGGTCATCCTTCTCCTTCTCACTCTTCCCTTCCTGACCACTTAAGGAGTTCTTGGTGTCCATGTTGTCGCCAGGAACACCATCCTCACCAAGGCCGTCGTCAAAGGAAACAGATTTCTTCGTGTGTTTTTTTCTCTTCCCTGTGCCATCATTTATCAGATCATAGCCTTTTCCCCCACCACCACCACCGTCATCATCATCGTCATCAGAGCTACGGATGAGGATGGAACGCACGTCACTTCGATTCTCCTCTGTCTTAACTTCCTCCTGGATAATCAAGGGGGCCACGTCCTTCCTTACATCCTCGTCCTCGTCAGATAACACACCCTTGTACTCCTCAACCTCTACGGTGTGTAACAAATGGACGATGGAGGACTTGGACACGTCATCTTGGTCACCCACATCAGACTCGGCTGTAACGCAGGAAGAGAATAAGACATCAAGACCCACTATACACTGCTCAAACTTACACAAGGGAACAATTACCACCATTTTATAACTTACTCTTTTACCTTAGAGCAAAAAGTGTCTATTTTGTTGATATATAATAAATTAACTTCATTCAAACACATTAAATATTAATTATTCCTTAATGAGCATTCGGGGTCAAATGTTCGCTCCCTCTAAAACTGAAGCAGTATCGACCCTAAAATGAGACAACACCACACAGCAGCTTCAAAGATTCATTCCCCTGACTCAGGTTCATCACGGAGAGCGAACTTTTCACCGCAACTGTACCTCATCTAACTATCGTAACTGTTTTGTTGATATATAATAAATGAAATTGATCCTGTACTCACCAGTAATGATAGTCTTGGTGACGTTCTCCTGACGGTGTACGCTGCAGGAAGCCAACATCCTGTATCCTGGTGTCCCCTCCTCCTCCACAGCAGGCACGTCCCACGTCTTCTGAAACACTAGCCCTTCGTCGTCATCGTTGTCGTCGTCGCCTCCATCGTCTCTCTTCGATAGTTCCTCACTGACTGTGACGTTCGTAGCCTTCGTGAACGTCGTCTCCATATCGTCACCTACATTCGTGTCTTTCTCGAAGGTGTGGGAGGAGTGTTCTGCTGTTGTTGTTGTCCAGGTGTGGGGACGTTTAGCCTTATGGCCGTGTTCCTCTGCGACTAAGATTTCAGAATTTTCACGATGCGGTTTATTTCCTTTTTTGTTTTTTGCCGTTTCCTTTGACTCCTGATCAGAATCTATTGAGAGTTTTCTTTTTCCCTTCCCCTCACCAAAGCCTGCCTCTAATTGCTGGTCCACTTCATCATCTGGACCATTCACAACACTGTTAATTGTGACGTCACCAGCGTGTTCACCAATTGCGTCTTTGTTTTCCTCGTCTGACTCCACCTCATCCTCAACGCTATACTGAGAACGTAATCTAGCGGTCTCTTTGCCAGATTTACTTTGACCTCTCGGATCTGCTACACAGGGAGGACAACACACATATATGGGATGAAAGTTTATCTTGTAATTAATGAGCGATATGTAGAGAAAAAAATTGCATACACACTTCGAAAAAAAAATGTTGAGTTGCTGCAAGATAAAACATATGCCGTTGTGTTTGTCTGTCATGGCAACGGGTTAAACCAACAAGAAACAAGAACATTGTATGCAATTTTAACTCAACATAAAGCGAATTTAACATACTGTCGAATTATATAAAAACAGTACACTGAAAAACACATGTGATAAATAGTAATTAGGATAAAGGAAATCATATAGAATATATAGAGAGAGAAAACGAAGAAAGAACAGGACTGAAACAAATGACGATCGCCTATATATTGAATATCAGAGATTCGAATCGCATGTATTATAGTATTCGAATCTATAATATTCGATAAATAGGGATCAGAAACTAATTATCAAACCAAGAAAAATATATAAACACATTTACTGGAAAAAATAATGGTAATAATTATTTCCATTTAAAGACATATAGTTAACATGAACTGGAATTATGTCATTTATTTATGCAACTTATATAATTATTTATATATTTTTACATACAATTTATGTTCATGATAAACGAAGAAAAATGAACCTTATATCACCATTTATAATAATAATAATAATAATAATAATAATAATAATAATAATAATAATAATAATAATAATTTCGTTTTCATTTTTTCAAGATAAATGAAAGAAACTTAGACTTTATTGAGAGGTGTTTTAAGGTTCAAAGTCCTTCAGTCTGTCAGAAGAACACGAAGGGTTAACTAAACTAAAATGACTGGGATTACTTTACTTTACTTTACTTTACTTTACTTTACTTTACTTTACTTTACTTTACTTTACTTTACTTTACTTTACTTTACTTACTTTACTTTACTTTACTTTACTTTACTTTACTTTACTTTACTTTACTTTACTTTATTACTTTACTTTACTTTACTTTATTACTTTACTTTATAATCAATATTGTTGTATTTGCGTGTACTTGATGCGCGTGTGTATGAATCTTTGTGTGTGTATTTGAGTGTGTATGCATGCGTTTGTATTATGTGTGTGTGTGTGTGTGTGTGTACCTCTGTGCCTGTGTATGCTTGTGTATGCACTGTATGGATGTTTGATACACGATGTCTAAATGTATACGTGCATGAGAATGTATTTACGTGTATATAGATAATTACAAATACATCCTACCACAACAAATACGAGTAGACAGCTACCCGTCAATTTATTTCAGTTAACCCTTAAAATGTATAGTTTTTTTATTTACTTCACAGAAAACGGGAAGATACTTATTTAATCACCTCAAAGAAAACGGGAAGCCACTTTTAATTATTTACCTCACAGAAAACGGGAAGATACTTATTTATTCACCTCAAAGAAAACGGGAAGCCACTTTTAATTATTTACCTCACAGAAAACGGGAAGATACTTATTTAATCACCTCAAAGAAAACGGGAAAACACTTCTAGTTATTTACGTCAAGGAAAAACATAAACAAAATGGCCTCCTCAACCTCGTCTCAATGTGGAGGATAAATTTTTAGATACAGAAGGCAGAAAGCACAACACCCGGAACTCACTTAATACACAAGGAACTCAAGACATACATTCATACATACGTGGGGATGATAACAGTGTATGAGTGTGTGTGTATATAAGGAAGTGAGGAACAAGATTATTGAGTATTATTAACAAACCGATTCTTTATATTTTTGTTTGTTTATTTTTTGTGATTTTCTCTTCCTTGTTTTTAATAAATTTCGTTAATTCTTCTTTTATTTATTTTAATTTTTTTGCTATACACCTTTTTTATCAATAATTTTGTTATTAATTATTTGTATTATCATTCTTCAACTACGTTATTGTCTTCATCATCCCTCTTTCGCTTTGTATCGTCTTTGTTGTATCTTTTCTTTTATGCACCTTCTTTATTCCTCTCTCACTATGCACTATATTTATTTCTATTCCTTGAACTCGTCTCCTAAGAAGTATTTATCGAGTTAAATTAATAAAGATATTGTGTCGAGATTTCTGATTGGTCAATGAATGTTGTATGAAACGCTGTGATAGGTCAGGTAAATCGCAAAAGATGTTATAATTGGGCCGTAGGAAATAGTATGACAAGGTGTGATTAGTCAATGGAAAGATGTGATTGGCACAAGTCGACAGCCCAATGAAGGCCTTTCCTGACTGACTGACTGAATAAATGACGGACTGACTCACTCACTAACTCAATGCTCTCCCTCCCAGTCTCCAGCCAATAACTTTATCAGCTCTAACAGGCTCTGCTAGACATTGGGTTCCTAAAGCCGGGTCAACACACCTTCCAAAGAACCCGGAAATGAGGTCAGGACACCGTAAACGAGATCACTGCCCTCTAAGACCCAGGTCACTGCTCCCCCCCCCCCCTAGACGATCACTGGGGTCATAGCTTAGATTATAATGGAGGATCAGGTCAGTCAGCCAGTCTCTCTCTCCCTCTTTTCCTTCTTACTCCTAACGTTAAAGTTGTTTTTCTCTTTGTCTTTCTCTCTGTCTGTCTGTTTCTCTCTATCTGTGTGTGTGTGTGTGTGTGTGTGTGTGTAGAGTTTTAATCTAATCTAACGTTGGTAACTATCGCGTGAAATATTGAAAGTTTGTGTAAATACTCGGCGTCAAAGAGTAAATATTAGTCTGATATTTCATCCTCTATAAACAGCGGGACCTATAAACTGGTCCAAGCTGCGTTAGTGTTGGGTTGGTCGAGCCTCTAGGACCATACTGACATGAATTTGAACCCCCCCCTAAAAACTCTCTCAATTATTACGTAAACATATTATCGATCAGTCAGTCAGGAGAGGCGGGTATTGGATTGATTATCACAGCTTATAACCTAACCTAACCTAATCTAACCTAACCTAACCTAATCTAATCTAACCTAACCTAACAATATTAAACTAAAATTTATTACCATACTCTTTTTTACTATCAGTGAAGACAAATTATCGAATGTGTGGAAAAGTTGTTTTAGATTGAAGGGCGGAAAGAAATCACCAAGGTTCTATCCCCGAAAATTTTCCAAGGGGAAGGGTTAAATGTGGAGTTTTATCGTAGCTTCCATCCACTGAGACAGGATTCGAACCCCAGTGACGTAAGATTGAAGTTATTAATAGCATCTGATGTAGAGATGAAGATACTAGATCGCTTTTCACGTAGTACAAACCAAAGAATCGAAATCCTCTGAAGCAAATACTGTCTATCCACGATCATTATTTACAGAGTTCGAATCCCGTAAACCTAATTCCCTCTCGTCACTTTCAGGAGTTCGAACCCAAGACCTGAGGCATCCAGTACTAGCAAGGAAAAAAAAGTCGTTTTGGTGTCAACTGAAACCCTGTGGAAACTGTTGTCGCCGGTAGCGAGACTCGAACCCATAGCTCGAAACAGCTTCAAAGGCTTGTGCTTCAGTTCACTCCATCAGCCAGTAACTCCGCCATAAAAGTAGTAAAAATTAAATAAAAAAGTAGAGACAAAAGAGTAAAATAATTAATAATATAAATTGTAAATAGTAAAATTATTAATATCTTTTATATAACACTGTTGGTGACGTTGCTGTAGGTAGTGACTTATCAGTAAAACAAAAAGTAATACTCAACTGTCAATAAAGCTCTTTATTTAAGAACTCTAAATAATTACTATAATTTAAGACCTGTATCAAATAGAAACCTAAAAATCAGTATCACTAAAGTCTGATTATTGTGAGGATTAGACTTTTTTCTACTGATGTTTGCATTCTTGTTTAATCCAAGGCTTAAAATATAGTAATTATTTGTAGTTCTTGAATAATAAAAGTGATCCTGTAGTAACAATGAACAATAAGGTAAAATAGTTAATAGTGGACTAAAGTAGACCACTTAACACTATGTTGCTGTGGAAGTTAGTGAGAGTTATATCAGCGATGAAAATAATAAATTCCTTGTATGCAAATGAGCCCTTGAACATAATGGAAACCCATAGACGAGTACAAAAACCTATAATTCTTCCCGCAGAAGCAGCAGGGGCAATAGATGAGCTCCCTGGGGAGTCTTTCCTCCGGCCAGGGGCGCAGTAGGAGGCAAGAATATAAAAAAAAAAAATCCACGTGTTTACGGGCATGGTGCTCACTGATTGGCTCTTCTGAGATACTACACAGTGCAATGATTCGTCAAAACACGCACTAATGGTGATGGAGAGGGGGAAAAGAACCAATCACCACATGACATACCCCCAAACGCGTGGAATGTACCCCAAAATATCGCCTCAGGGGTAACTGCAGAAAATATTCGAGAGACAGTACGTGTGAGGCAGCCGTGGCAGTAGACGATGATAGTGACGTGGCGGTATACTCACTGTTGACGGTAATTGTGCCCTCAGTGGTGGTGGAGCCTTCGACGTTGGAGACCGTGGCGACGTAGTGACCAGAGTCTTCGGTCTTAGCCTCCTCGAAGACCAAACTGAAGGTGTCCTCATTCTCCACCTTGAGTTTAACCCGACGGTCATCAGGAGACCATTTCTTCCCGTCCTTGGTCCTGTGGAGGGTAGTAAGTGGTATGAGTGGAGGAGTAAGTGGTCAGGGTGGAGGAGTAAGTGGTCAGGGTGGAGGAGTAAGTGGTCAGGGTGGAGGAGTAAGTGGTCAGGGTGGAGGAGTAAGTGGTCAGGGTGGAGGAAACCATACACACTACACACTAAAGTCCCAAACCCACTCATCAGTTAATCCCTAATTCACCTGCCACTTAATTAATCAACCATTTTCCCACTGATATCTTCAACCACTTAATCAGTAAACATTTAAGTACCCAATCAAATAATTTTACCACTTACATAACTGATCTTCAAATACTAATAACTTATCTACCTAATTTACCAACCACTTACCACTTAATCAGTTACTTACCACTTGATCTCGGGTAGTGGGATGCCGGTAGCTTTGAAGGTGTATTTGCAGGTGTTGTCCTCAAGGAACTCCACATCCTTCAGTCCTTCGGTAATGGCAGGAGCTTCGTGGAGTCGGAACCTGGCCTTACACACACTCTCACCATACTCGTTGCTCGCCTGGAAAATTTAAATTACTTATGACTTGAAATAATGGAAACAAAAGTTGGCTCCCTGTGGTGAAACTGAGTCACAGGAATGAATCTCCAAACTGACTTACCCTGACTGTTTTATCTGGTGCTGGTGTGTTGTTTTATCATATTTGGGGTCGATACTGCTTCAGTTTTTAGGTGGGAGTGAACTTTCGACCTAGACCATACGGAATCTCTTTTGGTAGCTACACGAATCCAAATATTCAGACTCATGAACCCGAAACAGTAGACACTAATGCAATATTCTGCCCACAAATGCTTCGGATTTACGAGTCTGAATCTTTGGGTTTGTGAAGCGGCAGAGGAGTCGACACGACTTTTATTCGGGACTTATCAACAAACCCTTTACCTAACTCATTAAATAACTCGTTACTTTACCTTACTCATTAACTCACTCACTCACCTTGACAGTGTAGGTACCAACGAACTCCTGAGCAGCCTCATGGATGGTAAGGACCTGGGTGGTGTCTTGGCCCTTGATGGTGTACCCTGGGGTCTCTTCCCTGATGGGCTTATCATTGAAGAACCTGCAGAAGGCAAAGAAGTTATTGTACTGGGTGGTGATGGTCTCTCTCTCTCTCTCTCTCTCTCTCTCTCTCTCTCTCTCTCTCTCTATCTCTCTTTCATCTCTCTCTCTCTCTCATCTATCACTTGCCCAGGATAACTTAATACTTGACGAAGGGAAAGACTGACTCATCCACTTGACAGGGAGAAGAGAGAGACTAGCACTCACACTTGAGGGAACGAGGGTAAAAGAAATGGACCTATCACTTGACGGGGACTCACCACTTGACGGAGGGCTTAGGGTTGGCCTCCCATTCGACGAAGAGCTTGACGTCCTTACTGCCCTCCTTGGCACAGACATCCTTGACGGGGATAATGAAGTCTGGAGGTGCTCGGACGATCAGCTCTCCTTCAGTACTGACCTTACCGCTCGTGTTGGTCAGCTGGCGACGAGAGAGACGATGATGATGGTGGTGGCGGTAGTGGTGATGGTGGTGGTGATGGTGGGAGTGGTGGTGGTAGTGGTGGTGGTAGTGGTGGTGGTGGTGGTGGTGGTAGTGGTGGTGATGGTGGTGGTGGTGATGGTGAAGGTGGTGTGGTGGTGGTGGTGGTGGTGGTGGTGGTGGTGGTAGTGGTGGTGATGATGATGGTGGTGGCGGTAGTGGTGATGGTGGTGGTGTGTGGTGGTGGTGGTGGTGGTGGTGGTGGTGGTGGTGAGGTGGTGGTGGTGGTAGTGGTGGTGGTGTTGATGGTAGTGGTGGTGATGGTGGTGGTGGTGATGGTGGTGGTGGGTGGTGGTGGTGGTGAGTGGTGTTGTGGTGATGGTGGTGATGGTGGGAGTGGTGGTGGTGGTGGTAGTGGTGTTAGTGGCGACGATGGTGGTGATGGTGATGACTATAAAGGCTAAAAACGGTGAAAATAAATCCCAGACGTATAATCCCAAGCCTGTAAAATCCGGTTACGTTAATATTAATGCATCTCCCCTAAACCACAAATCCCCATCAATCCTAAATCCTTATGCCCTGAATAGTTAAATCCTTCTTCTTGATTGGTGAACCTATCTAGTCAATATTGTTCGGTGATCGGCTAATCCAGGAGTTACCGGGGGGATTAAATTGAAGACGATTAATTGACATCTTCCCGAGAGAGAGAGAGAGAGAGAGAGAGAGAGTAAACCTACTTACAAATACTCTCTTCTTACTCTCTCCTCCTCCTCTCCCTCACTCCCCTCCCCCTCCCCTCTCTCCCGTACTCCCCTCCTCCCCTCTCACCCACACTCTCTCTCTCCCACTCTCCTTCCTTCCTCTACTCTCTACTACTCCCTCCCACTCCATACCCCATTCTCCCTCCCTCTCCCTATCCCACTCGATATTAAATCACACCCATGTTTTTTCCTAGGCCAGTCGAGTCACCCACATCAAAAGGCGCCATTAAACACCCCATTAGATATTTATTATGTGGCCTTCAGTTACCTTCATGGGAAAAAAAACCTAGAAAATATACAGGTAAAAACATCAATTTACTCGACATCTATCTAGCGGGTATAGTTCGTTATATGGAGGTTTTACATCTAAAGAACCTCGACATAATGAACTGTACGCTAATATATAATCTGTTAAATTTTGGCTTCACATTTCTATAAATCCCATAAATTAGCACAAAATTCCCTGCAATCCCTTTAAATCATTCATAAATCCTTCTAAGGCCTCCATAAATCCCTTCCAATTCAATGTAAATCCTCCAAAACTTTCAAAATCCTTCAAAATACTCCAAAATCCCCCAAAGTTCTTGAAAATCCCTCCAAACTCATCAAAATTCCTCCATAATCCCTCCAAAGTTCTTCAAAACCACTCCAAATCCTTCTAAATCCCTCTAAATCCTCGTATAGGACTCCCCCCAAAAAATCCTACTTACCTCACAGGTGTATTTGCCCTTATCCTTCCTATCCAACTTGCGGATCTTGAGGATATAAAAAGCTTCATCTTTAATCATCTTGAACTTATCGTCACCCATGATCTCCTTCCCGTTGTGGAACCTGTGAGAGAAAGTTTTAAGGGGTGAGAGAAAGTTTTAAGGGGTGAGAGAAAGTTTTAAAGGGGTGAGAGAAAGTTTTAAAGGGGGTGAGAGAAAGTTTTAAGGGTTGAGAGAAAGTTTTAAGGATGAGAGAAAGTTTTAAGGGTGAGAGAAAGTTTTAAGGGTGAGAGAAAGTTTTAAGGGGTAAGAGAAAGTTCACCCTCTCTCTACATTTCTACACAATCATCTACCTCACTTACACTTTCTACACCCAAGGCACCCCAACACCATCTACACATCCTCTCTACACCTCCCTACACCCTCCTACACCTCCCTACACCCTCCTACACCTCCCTACGCCCTCCTACACCCTCTACACAATCATCTACCTCACTTACACTTTCTACACCCAAGGCACCCCAACACCATCTACACATCCTCTCTACACCTCCCTACACCCTCCTACACCTCCCTACACCCTCCTACACCTCCCTACGCCCTCCTACACCCCTCCTACACCCCCCTACACCCTCCTACACCTCCTTATACCTCCCCTACACCCTCCCTCCCTACACCCCTCCCTACACCTCCTCTACACCTCCCTACACCCCCCAACACCTCCCTACACCTCCCTACACCTCCCTACACCCCCCAACACTCACCATCGGGCATCAGGTTTAGGACTGCCAGTCGCTCTAACTTCGAAGGCGATGTCGTAGTTGAGTTTCTTCTCAGTCTCGGGATCAAGACCGCGTGTGATCTGTGGCGCAGCATCCGATTCCAAGTTAAAGAATTCTGACACTTGACCGATGGGATTGACTGCCATGACCTGTACGGGGGGAGAAAGACGTGGTCAGGTCAGGTTAGGTCAGGTTAGGTTAGGTCAGGTCAGGTCAGGTTAGGTTAGGTTAGGTTTATTTCTTACGTGTGACTGTGTTTGTTAATATAATTCTTTGTCCTTCTATCAGTATATCTTAATGTGTTTTTTAATCTATCTATTCTCCTGTATTTATCTATTCGTATTTATTCTTCTATCTGTTAAATTATTTTCCTGCTATGCCCCTTCATTCTATTTAAATTTTTGGTGTTTTCTCTTCCCCCTTCTCTTCCTCTTTTCCCGATCCTCTTCTTCCTGTTATTACTTCCTATCATCTTCCTCCTATCACCACCCCTCAGCCCCTATCTCCTCTACCTCCTCCAACACTCCTTCTCCAACACTCCTTCTCCAACACTCCTCCACCAACACTCCTTCTCCAACACTCCTCCTTCTCCAACACTCCTCCTCCAACACTGCTCCTTCTCCAATACTCCTCCTCCAACACTCCTTCTCCAACACTCCTCCTCACTCACCGTATAGCAGCCACAGTCCCCCATCTGCATCGCGTCAATCTTAAGTGACCAAACATTATCGGCGTCTTTACCAAACTTGATCCTGTCTGACTCCACGAGAGGCTTGCCATCCTTCATCCTGTGGGAGAGAGAGATGGATGAGTGAAGGGTGGATGAGGGGGAGTAGGATGGATGAGGGGGAGAAGAATGGATGAGGGAAGGATGGATGAGGGGGGGGAGAAGAATGGATAACGGAGAGAAAGATGGATGTAGGAGAAGTGGATGAATGTGGGATAAAAGAGATGAATTGGAATGTATTTATGGATTAGGTCATTAATGCTGTGTAAATCTAGTACACACACACACACACACACACACACACACACACACTTGCCTAACTACCTAAGTCAATTACAACTCCTGACACCAGCATCTAGTTCTCTCAACTCCTGTTATTAAATTGTTCCACTAAATTGTTGGTTAGAGATCTCACTGCTATCACCACCACTATCACCACCACTATCACCACCACTATTACCACCATTATCACCACCACTATCATCACCACTATCACCACCACTATCACCACCACTATCACCACCACTATCACCACCACTCACCACCATTATCACCACCACTATCACCACTACTATCACCATCATCAATATCATCACTATCATTCATCACATTCTAAACAACAAGAAAAACATGAATTAAAAAAAAAAAAATATTCCAAAATCTTAATAAAAAATAAACACAAATCTCTTTAAAATAAAAATCAGGAAATAAAAATCACAATAAAATCCAAAACAGAATAATTTTACTTCACAGGATAAGAAGAAAAAACTCACCTTGTTAATATTTAAAATCTCTAATTAAATTTCGTCGTTTTTTTTTTTATCCAGGGGGATGAAATTTAGGATCTTGTTAAAATTAATTCATGGTTTTTATAAGAACTTCAAAGGTAAGAGAGTTTTATTATGTGAGGCATAATAACGTACTCATTAAAATAATCAAATAACTGGGAAAAATGACAAGAAATCTTCAATAATTTATTAATTTATTCATCATTATATCAAACACATATTAGGGATAAATATCTCAATAAAGAAATAAATATATGAAAAGTGATTACATGAGTTTATTTCCTTATACATCTGGATCATCGAGACTATAGATGACATAAGCCACAGTATAGACACCTGAACTATCAACATTAAAAACAAGTAAATCTAGATCATCGAAACTATAAATGACATAAGCTAGAGTATAGACACTTGAACCACCAACATCATTCACAAATCATATCCGGGTTTGTAAGACTATAGATGACATAAACCAGACTATAGACAACTAAACTGTCATAAAAATAGGTTCAGCGTGAAGATGATAACAAGACATAGAGCAAAATTTCCCTCAAGTGTAGAAGATAAAAAGAAAAATGGCCAGACAGATGATTACACAGACAGACACAGGCACACGTCAACAATAATATACCACGAAGCTAAGAACCGAATAATGAGAAAAGAAAACAAAAACTCTTCCAATAAAATAACTTGAAAGTCAGATAGAAGGACAAACAAACACACACACACACAAACACACAAACACACACAAACACTCAACGCTACATTATACTCTATAATACAATAAATTATATACAATTATACATGTTGGTGTTATAATTCACCTTAATAAAGACTTTTCAGTGTTATGATAGATGATTAGACACATTATTTATATTCATTTAGATACACAAGAATTATACATGATAAAATTTGCATACCTGAAGATAAATTTTAAACTATAATTACCTCAATAAATGTCTAAAAATAATGATAATTCGACACTTACTAACATAATTTACACAATTATAAATTATTTCCCCGTAAATGAGTCAGTTTACGATAGAAATAGACATTGGGAGTTTACATGTAATTAAGATGATAGGTAACCAGGTGATATGATGAAAAAAAAAACAGCTTGTGATTATAGACGTCGAGTATTATCTATGAAAATATAACCACAGGTGACACTGGCTAATATAAATCTATAATTATGGATATCAAGAGTTCTATAACACATAAATACCTTCAAAATCTAAAATCCAATCAAGATTATAGACCACAGGTGTTCCCAAAATCACATTAACCCACAGGTGATATAATTCAACTACGATTATATACCCCCCTAAAAATAACCTAAAGCAAAGCACCTCCGTCTGAAACCTATAATCTAATTAGGATTATAGACACCGGAGGATATCTCGACGCCCGTCCAGGAAGAGTGGTTATACATCAAGAGGAACACCCTGACCATCCCCAGCAAGAGGAGGAAGAGGAAGGTGGAACGGATTACGCCCATATGCTCATTGATGACGTCTGATAAGCTCTGTCCCGCCATCGTGTGTGTGTGTGTGTGTGTGTGTGTGAGCTTATCAAATACTCAAATTCTTCAGTAATTTGTTTGATTAATTCTTTGTAAATCTTAGTTGTAGTAAAATTGGAGAGAGTTATTAACCCCTGAATAATATCTGTAGTCAATGTCTGCTGGAATTACTGTATAAATCCCGGTTATTGAAATGCTTTAAATGGTCAATGCCTCTGAAATAAGTGGGCGGGTTGTTAAAGTCAGAGTAAAAATGATAAATGCCTGTTGAAAGTAATCTAGAAATCTGGTTATTGCGTAATTGAAAAAGTCTGAAATTACCTAAACTTTCGGTTATTGCACAGATTAAATCGACAACCCCTTCAGAAATAACCTGAAAATCTGGTTATTGCAGAATTAAATCCTTCAAACCCCTCTGTACTGAAAATAACTACAAGATTTCAGATTAATCCCTCATGAAAATATCTTAAAGATGTCAACACTAACTTGGTCTCATGGTAAGCACTTGAACTTGTCTGTTGAGCGTCTCTCCTGAGCACACAGACACACAGACACAGAGACTTACACAAAAAACTTTAACTCTTTCATCTCAGGATCAAAGTGCTGATGTCATCTTTGTTTTCCCCGTAAACAGAAAAAAATAAGAAATATGAGATTTTTCGGTCAGGCTAAACGTACAGCAGGAAACAACAACAGGGTCCTAAAAATTCCCTATGTGATTATATGATTATTTATTTTTTTCCCTAACACGATAAAAAAAAAATTCCTTTAAATGCTGAAATTTTCCCCCGAAAGCCAAAAAAATTATCAAAGCTAAAATTGTCCTAAGAAATGTTTCCCCAAGGAGGTAAAAATTCCTCCCCAAAATTAATCTTTCATAAACAACAAAATTTTCCAATTATTATTTTCTTAACAGCTTCCTCTTTAATGACTTTCAAACTAATTCAAGGACAAGAAAACAATAATAAAAACACTCTTTAAGTAACTAATATAGCGGACTATTTGCTCTGAGACTGTAAGGCGTCACTAAGATAACTCCCTTATTTTTAGTTCCTTAAGAGAAATAAAAACATTCTGTGCCTCGGGTCTTCTGGCATCCAATCTTTATAAATTCTTGTTCGCGGTCACAAACTGGGCTCTTACACCTCCCCAGCGTGTGTGTTTGTGTGTGTGTGTGTGTGTGTTTGTGTGTATATGTGTGTGTGTGTGTGTTTGTGTGTGTGCGTGTGTGTGGCACTGGTGGTGGTGGTGAAGAATGTATGTCCTCTCTTGGTCACGCCTCTCCCACACACACATACACACGCACACACATTAAGCAAGCTATTTTCTTTCTCTCTCTCTTTCTGTCCCCACTAGCACTTCCTCCACGTTGCTTAGTCCTTCCTTTCTTCTTTCTTCTTCTTCTCCTTGTGTCTTTTCTTCGTTAGCGGCGTTGTCTTCTTCTTCCCTTGTTCTTTCCTCCTAGTGTATTATTGTCTTCTTCACTGTTTCCTTTCTTCTGTTTCTTACTTTTTTCGTATAACTTTTCCTTCTTTGTCTTTGTGGCTTGTTGTGTATTTTCTTATTTTCTTCTTCTGCTTATTTGTTCTTTTTTCTTCTTCCGGTTTCAATCTGACTCCAAAAAAACACCAGAAATACGAAGGATGCGACAGATAACAAGGTAAATGTACACAAACTTTAGTTACCCCTATAAAGAGCCTAAATAAAAGAAAACGGGTCTTATCATCACTGTCTTTATCACTATTGTCTTTCACCTATATTTCACTGTTTTTTTTCTTTGTGTTTCTCACTTCAAGTCTCACTATTTATTTCGTTTATTGTCTTTTTATATGTTTTTATAAGTTATTTGCTGTTTTCTATGTTTCTTTCTATTTTTTACTTTATTTCCCCTGTGACGGCGGCTGTGACGGACTTCCTATGTGAAGGACGCTGTGGCGGCCCTAGTATGTGACTGCCCTCTAATGTGACGGACGCTGTGACGGACACTGTTGAGGCCACTGTTCTGTTTCTTCACCTAAGGATTTGTAAAAACAGGAGTCCCTCAAGGTGTTTTTTGGGTCCTTTTTCGTTTTCTTTTTGTTCAGTATTTTTGAGATATTATTACTGAGACCTAACTCAGTCTTGTCAGTCTTGTCTCTTTTTGCTTCTTGAGATAGTGGAGAGATTATTTGTCTCTGTTCTCTCTCTATAGTCTCTGCCAATGCCTTTTTTGGAGATAGATAGGGAGACTTAAGAGACTTGAGAATAAGATGTAGGGTTCTTCTCTCTGCCTATCTCTCCCATGAGACTAGAGGTATTCTTTATCTCTTCATCACGTGGGCACTTCCTTCCTCTTGAGAGATAATGTAGGACTATTATCTCGTGAGTGAGATATGGGGCCTAGTGAGAGACTTCTTTCTTCTCCTTCACGTAGAGACTTTCTTGATCCCCTTTAAGAGATACTGGAGATGTAGTCTTCTCTCTCCCGTCGATGGTGAGACTTCCTTCTTTGTTCGTAAGAGATGAGAGCCACCTTGAGTCTTCGTGAGAGATTCCAGAGAGAAATTTTATATCTCTCTCACTTCTCGACGCAGAGATTTTTTTCTTCCTTTTGAGAGATGCCTGAGATACCTCCTATCTCTCCTGCTTCCTTGTGAGAGACATTAGTAAAGAGACGTCCCTATCTCTCTAGCTCTGTCCTTGACGTAAAAGCTTAAGAGATTCTACAGAGAAAGAGAATCACTGTCTCTCTATCTTTCTCTTTCTCTCATT